TAGCTAAAGGTTGTTGACTCTACAGGCTAAAGCCTGGATTTGAATCTGATTGATAATAAAGTAAACAAGAGAGTCAAATTTAAACCATTGCTCTCTCTGGTTAGGACGGGCTTAATGCAGTGTACAAGGAATTTGAAAGATCTAGGATGTGTCTTAATCAACGTTAAGTAGAATGGATAAGCTTTCAGCATTTCGAAAACGCTGGGTTAGGGTTTCTACCCTATTGTGTGTTTTCCGTCTAGGGACTAATAAGCATTACAGAGGACGTGATTTGAGGCGACTTTTTATTCTTGTATAAATCCAGACTGAACCACCAAGCAGTTGTTCGACTGAAGTCAAGGTAATTTTCTTCTGACGGGTCCATTTTCTTCTCGATTTCTAATTTATTAGCCTGCCTTTTTAAGACTCTATCTTCTTTGCAATTAAAATAAAGCTGCTTCAGATTAGCAGGACATTCATCTGACAGGCGAATTGGTTGATTTGCTGATGTTTCAACATTTTAGTTTTAGGCGGCATATCTCCTTTCTCTCACGGCCCGGGGTGCGGGAACTCTGGACTGGAGATGGATGTAATGAGACACAAAAGGAAAGAGAGGGGTGCTTGCTGATCCTTGAATCTTTCATCCTCGACCTTTCCTCTGCGAACCCCCAACCCCCAACTCCCAGCCTCACCTCTCCGCCTCCCATTCCTAGGCAAAAGCAGGATTGCCTCTGGCTGGGCAGGAGCAGAATTCCCAGGAGCTCGCCTGTGGAGACCGGGTGGGCTCAGCCACGAATTAGTCGGGCCTCACATCGCTGATAGGTGCAGATAGAACCATCCCTCCGCAGTGGCTCGAGGCCTCTCGATTGGTGTGGAGCCACGTCACTCCGACCCCGGGAAGGGTCTGGGAGGAGGCGGAGGCGGGGAGAGCTGGGGAGGGCAGCGGCTGAGTGACGTCTCGCCACCAGGAAGCCCGCCTCTGGTTTTAAGATGTTAGGCCAACAGGGAAGCGCAGAGGCGCAGATCTGGCCGGTCGCTCGCCGGGGCTTCTGGAGCTGAGTTGCTGCGGGGCCGGCTCTAGCTCCACGGCCCGAGGGGGTGTGCTCGGAGGCCGCTGCAGCCGCCGGGGATCTAATATCAGCTACCTGTCCCTGTCACTCTGACACTTCGCGTCCGGGGCTGCGGCGCGGGGGGCGGGCAGAGCGCGCTCGGCCTCAGCTTGCCTCGTTGGAGGGGTGTCTGGGGAGAGAGGGAGGCAAGAGGGGGTCTTTGCCCGTTCTGGTTTCGCTTTGGATCTTGGAAGTCAGCTCCCCAAAGAAGCCCGGAGCGGGGCCCTCCTGCCCGCATCCCCGTGTCCGGGCTGGCTCGCTGACTTTCGGCTGCCGTACTCTTCACTTGCGCTTCCCGGAGGAGACGGGGGCGCCTCGGCTGAAGGACTCCGCGGGGTTGCGTCCCCCGGCTCTTCCCGCAGCGGCGATCGCCGGGACGCTCGGCGCCCAGAGCGCTCCCCAGACCCGGCGGCGGCCCCCGGGCTCGGGAAGTAGCCCAGGATCCGTAGGGCGGCGCACTCCCTCGTCCATGAACTGCATGAAAGGCCCGCTGCACTTGGAGCCCCGAGCAGCCGCCACCAAGCTGTCGGCCCCCTCCACGTCTGCCTCCTGTCACCACCCCCAGCCTTTAGCTATGGCTTCGGTCCTGGCTCCGGGTCAGCCCCGCGCCCTGGACTCCTCCAAACACCGGCTGGAGGTGCACACCATCTCCGATACTTCCAGCCCAGAGGCCGCAGGTAAGGCTTCACGCCACGCCGCGGACACTGGAGCACGGCTCCGGGCGCAGCCCAGCACCGGTGACCCGGCATGGAGCCGGCCCCTCCTGGGGGAGGCGTGGTGGGAGTGGTCGTTCTGCTGGCTCTACGCAGAACTTCCGGCAGCCGGGATTCTGGTGGCCCGGTCCCTTTCTCCTGCCACCGACCAACTCCCCTGGCGCGGGTCACCCTGCACCCTACTCGGTGCCTACGCGGGTCTTCTTTCAGTTTCTTGGGTCACAAAAGTCCCGAGTTTTCGATTCAAGGACGTTCGGAGTCCGGCCCACTTAGGTCCCTTTTCTTTGGCGTTCAGCTCTGGAGGAACGCCACTCATTAGAAAAGTATTTCTGAAACTACTCAGAAAGGCTCTTCGCCAAGACACGTCATTTTCCCCGCGAAACGAGCGAACTTGCGTGCCTTCCTGAATCTCAGTATCGATTCCCCGGCCTTCCCAAACCGCTGGAAATCTGAGATTTCGGGGGAAGGAGGAGGGGTCGTCCGGGAACCGCGCGTGTGCGCGTCTCGGGAAGTTTGAAGTGTCTGCAGAGCTGTGTATTTGGACGCACAAGCTATAAAAATGAATGTACCGCCTTGGTGAGATAAACATGTAAAAAAAAAAAAAGTGCGGCGCTGCGGCGGGAGGGGAGGAGATGGGGCGCACACAAGCACACTTTGATCTCTTGCCCCCAGACACAGCGCAGAGAGGAACGTGCCCTGGTGGCGGCCCTGCCTCTAGTGCAGGTGGGAACTCGTGCTTTGCAGGTGGCAATCTGACCCGAACCTTTGTGTTTCGTTTTTAGAGAAAGATAAGAGCCAGCAGGGAAAGAATGAGGACGCGGGCACCGAGGACCCGTCCAAGAAGAAGCGGCAGCGACGGCAGCGCACGCACTTCACCAGCCAGCAACTGCAGGAGCTGGAAGCTACTTTTCAGAGGAACCGCTACCCAGACATGTCCACCCGCGAAGAAATCGCCGTGTGGACCAACCTTACGGAAGCCCGAGTCCGGGTAGGAGCCAGCACCGGTGTGGGAGAACCAGGGAGCGGGCGTTGCTGAACTGCAGGCCCTGTGGGTGGGGGAGGGAGCGTGGGAGTCTGTGTTACCCCGCAGGACTCGGGTGGAGAGCAACTTTGCGACAAGGGCCAGAGGCCTCCTGCGGGCGGCTATTCAGAGGTTACCGCTCTGCCTTCCCAGGCCCAGCTGCTCGCCCGGTGCTGGCGCCAGCAGGGACCTCACCGGCTCAGTGCCCAGCCGTCCCGCGCCCTCCCAGGCTGAGCCGCGTGGGCATTCCTCAGCAAAGGGCATTGTGTTCCCGGCTTGCAGTCGCCAGGCAAGCGCCAATAAAATCCCTCCCCGCCAGGAGCTGGGAACAGGCTCCAACCTGTGCGCCTAGAACCGGAAAACCCGCCAGAAACACGCAAGGGTTGGCCTTGCTGGAAAACCTTCGTGCCTGGCCCGGCCTAGCCTTTCCTCTCAAAGACTAGCTAGCGTACTTTCCAGGTCTTTTCGGGAGGGTTTTCGAGCGTTCAGTTTTTCTCTCACACGGTATTTCCTGGTTTGGAAATCTCTGAAAATAACTACTATTCGGATAGCTCTCTTAGAAAGAAAAAGAAAAAAAGAAAGAAAGACGTTTCAATTTGGTTTATTTACCTTCCTGCAGTAGTGGAACTCTTTGAAGACTACTCACACTCCTCTCTTAATTATAGTCATAGTTTTATAAAAGAAGAGCTTACCTTTACCTTGTAGCAAATCTGCCTTTTATGGATTGGCAAAAATGAGCTTAAATAAATCACTCAGTAGCAGTATCCCGGTTTAGGCTGGTCGGTGGAAAATTCCAAAATTGTTAGGACTCTGAAAGAGGAAAGCAGAGCTAAGCAGAATCCAGAGACCGCTGCTTTAGAAAAAGTGTTCTGTAGAGAAAAACTCCTCGGAGAAAAGAAAGCTCAAAAAGAAGACAGTATTAGACAGCGACGAAAACAAAAACCAAAGTGTGCTTCCTAAGGTGCGGGAGAAGCTGCTCTCAGCGCGGCGACGGTGCTCGGCTCCTCCGGCAGATAAAAGGGCTGGGACGGAGCTCTAAGTAGTTTTAGTTTAACAGCTCAGAGCCAACGCTCATGAGGCCGCCTGGTTTGGGGCAAGGTCAGTCTTTCCTTAGCTTTCTTGAGCATCAGGGAACGACGGGCCTTGCACGTACTCTTCTTGCCTGGGCAAAGTTTAGAAGGTCTGGGGCAGAAATGCAAGTGATTAAAATAAAGACACAATTTGTCTTTTACCTAAATCCTTGGGGAAAGCCCTCCCACAACACCGAGTTTTCTGCAGCCGGCACTGGCTTCTCACTCCCTCCAGCTGCCCTCTTCCAGAGGCTACTTTTTCTAGAGAAAGGGTGCAAAGAGGAAGGGGGATAAAAAGGAAATCAAGAATGAAAGGAAAAAGAAAAAAAAAAAAAGCGGATTAGGTCACTGGGCCCAACTGAGATGTGTAATGCGAAACATCACTAGTGTCAGCTGAGGGCTCTTGGGCCAAGCCTCGCTCCAATACACAAAAGCCGCCGTCTGGGGCGACGAACTGGCCCAGTGTGGATTGGGAAAAGGGTTGTGGCGGGGCCACTGGACGCGGGTGGGGGGCTTGCCAGCCCTAGCAGCCGGCTGCAACGCCTAACAACAGCCGGGAGTGAGAGCTGGACCTGCGAGCTGGGGAGGCCTAGGTGGGCGGAGGGTGAGAAAGAGCAGATGGGGGGAGGGGCTACCGACCAACTTGTTCAGGTTTCCCGATGTTTTACGTGCCTGGCTCGTGGAATTTAACGAGCAATCCAAGAGGTGGTCTTGTGCCTTTTATTTGGTTGTTTTTCTAGGGAAGGAAGGGAGTCACGTCCTGCCTCCAGTGCTTTCCTAGGGGAAGGGGAGGGGGCAAGTGTGGCGGTACTAGAGAGGAGGGCGGGGGTGTGTGGAAGGGAGGGCGCGTGCCCTCCCAGCCCCACGTCTTACTCTTCGGGTCTGTGGTTTTGGGATGGAAGCAACTTTGCCAGGTCCAGGGATTGGGCGGAAAGCCGACTGACCCTGGTTTATTTTACAGTAAGTGTTTAGGGACCCCCAAGGAGGGCCTGGGTGAGGGATCAAGCGGCCGGCAGGCCTCAGAGGCCTTTGGCTGGGGTTTCTGGCGCGGCTCTGAGCCCAGGCTCCGGGGCTTGAGCCAGCTGGGCCCGGGAGCCCGACCCGGGCCTGAGACGGGCAACATCGCTGTTTTCGCTGCGGTCGGTGGCGTGGGCGCCGCGCGGCGTGGACGGTGGACACGCGGGGCAGCCAGGGTGTGAGCAGGGGCGCGCTCCTGTGCGACCAGGGCCGGCTTCTGGAGCCGGTGGGTTCGAGCTCTGACTAATTCCCGTGCGTCCTGTGTTTGCTCCCCCATCCCCACCGCCCCCAGGTTTGGTTCAAGAATCGCCGGGCCAAGTGGAGGAAGCGGGAGCGCAATCAGCAGGCCGAGCTGTGCAAGAACGGCTTTGGGCCGCAGTTCAACGGGCTCATGCAGCCCTACGACGACATGTACCCCGGCTACTCCTACAACAACTGGGCGGCCAAGGGCCTCACGTCCGCCTCCCTGTCCACCAAGAGCTTCCCCTTCTTCAACTCTATGAATGTCAACCCCCTGTCGTCGCAGAGCATGTTCTCTCCGCCCAACTCCATCTCGTCCATGAGTATGTCGTCCAGCATGGTGCCCTCCGCGGTGACCGGCGTCCCGGGCTCCAGCCTCAACAGCCTGAATAACTTGAACAACCTGAGCAGCCCGTCGCTGAATTCCGCCGTGCCGACGCCCGCCTGTCCTTACGCGCCGCCGACTCCTCCGTACGTTTATAGGGACACTTGTAACTCGAGCCTGGCCAGCCTGAGACTGAAAGCCAAGCAGCACTCCAGCTTCGGCTACGCCAGCGTGCAGAACCCGGCCTCCAACCTGAGCGCTTGCCAGTACGCCGTGGACCGGCCGGTGTGAGCCGCGCCCGCCCGCAGCGCCGGTCCGAGGACTGCCGGAGGGGCCGCTCCGCCCTGGAGACTGGGAATTGAGCTAGAAGGGCGTGCGCACTCAAGAAAGGCTGAGAAAAGAGAAGATGCGGGGCGAGAAGAAACCACTGAATTCAAGAGAGGGCGCCTTTGGTCTCCAAGGAGTGCCCTCCGTGTCTGACAACCTTTACTGAAAGTATTTCCAACAGTTGCAAGGACACTACACCAACAACGTTTGACTGGATATGACATTTTAACATTACTATAAGCTTGTTATTTTTTAAGTTTAGCATTGTTAACATTAAAATGACTGAAAGGATGTATATATATCGAAATGTCAAATTAATTTTATAAAAGCAGTTGTTAGTACTATCACAACAGTGTTTTTAAAGGTTAGGCTTTAAAATAAAGCATGTTATACAGAAGCGATTAGGATTTTTCTCTTTCAAGCAAGGGAATGTATATACTAAATGCTACACTGTATGTTTCTAACATATTATTATAAAAATGTGTGAATATCAGTTTTAGAGTAGTTTCTCTGGTGGATGCAATGATGTTTCTGAAACTGCTATGTAAAACCTATCCTGTGTATAACATTTCGTACAATATTATTGTTTTACTTTTCAGCAAATATGAAAAATGTGTTTTATTTCATGGGAGTAAAATATACTGCATATAAATCGGTCTGGATTCTTTCTCCTCTCCTCTGTCATCTGGCCAGGGAGGCTCAGTCCCTGCCTTGCAAACAAACCAGTTTCTTCTGCCTGCCTAGTTAAACATACCAGGCAGCAGTACTTATTTAAATTGGTAAAATTATAGCCATTCATCAGAAACTAAAAAGAGAAGAGGAGCACCAGTAGGGATGGGGGTGAGTGTTCGGTTCCTCAGGGTTTTTTTTTTTGGCCTAAACTCAAAGGATTCCATTATTGCTAGCAAATAACATGGGAGAAAGAAGAAAGGTGAGAGAAAAATTTGACTATGCCCAGCAGCTCGAAATGAGGCTGAAGCTTAGTCCATTAGAGGGAAAACCACACCCGCAGTAAATCGTTCTGAGAACTATTCGTGTGTGTAGTCATGTACAGTTTATATACATTCTTCTTAGGAGGAATACATCTATAATAAATTTACAAGGAAACACCTTCAGTTCAAAATATTTAGGCCTCTTGCGTTTATCTTTAAGGCTTAAGTAGAGAGATCCTTCATGTTATATTGCATTACTATTTCCAAGTCCTTTGGAGACATTAAAAGAAACAAAGACCATTTCTAATAACTACAGCCCTTCAGGTTCTCGAAGAGCCCAGGGGTTGAGAGGTTAGAGTGGAGTTTCCTGAGTCTTGTAGAGCAATATGTAGTTGAGGCAAAGGTCATGCTCCCTGTGTGTTGTTTTAAATAATATTAACCCATTAATTCTAAACCTGCTTGTTCCTGAAATTATGCAGGATTATAGTTTGCAAACTGCAGGACAATGAAGCAAATCAAGATGAATTACAGCCTGGGCCTCCCATCCTCTGACATCCAACCTGGAAGTGAGATCTGCGGAATGTTTGGAAGCACTTTAAGCCCCAGCTTCTCTTTTATCAGTGCTTTTTAGCTTTTTGTTAAATGTGAAATTTGATTTCCTAACCAGTGGTACCAAATAGAGCTTACTTACAAAGACTTCTTAAACATCAAGGTGTGGGGAGTGTCTTGGGGGAGTGTAGGAGGCCTTTTGTTGTTCTTGTCACACACACGCGCACACATGGTGTGCAAGGACAAACACTAGTGTAGGGGACCCCCAGTGAACAGTGGCCTCCAGGAACTGAGAAAACCTCTGTTTTTCTGTTTGGGTTTTTTTTCATCTAACTAAACTTTACATAGGAGCTTTGGGAGCCCAGACACTGAGTCTTTGTTCTGTGAGGAGCTGCTGCGGCCACTTAAGCAGACCGCGGATAACATCCCCGATTTAAGATCAAGTGCTCCGCTCACGTTAACTTTTTTCTTTTTAAAGCTGCCTCCAACCTGTGGCGGGACCACGCGGCGGTGGGGAGGGCAGATAGGCCTTTGGACGAGGGTCACTTCGTTCACTTGAGAGCAGTGGAGAGGAAAGCAGTCCCCACGGGCGGACTTTGGCATCTGGAGCTCCGGGGCACAGCGGTAGGTGCCTCTGGCGCCTCGGCGGGGTAGGCGGCGGGGCGGGGCCGAAGGGGGGCAAACTGGGTGCAAGGTTTGGGGATCCCTCCTGGTAGCACAGAGGAAAGAGGTATGCTGGCAGGTCAGACCAAGGGTGACCTGGAACCTCAGGGAGGTGTGTGTGTGTGTGTGTGTGTGTGTGTGTGTGTGTGTGTGTCGGCCTAGTCTGTAGGCTCAAACAGGACTCTGTAGGGGAACTCAATCTATGTAAGAAACAAATAAAAATTAGAAGTTGGGGTCTGGGAAGAGATGTCACTTCGCGGATTTGAGAAGTTGAGGCTGAGGGCGGAGACCTGGGAGAGAAGACCGGGCCTTTCCAAGCCATCGCAGCTCGGCGCCCTGGACTTCCAGCCGGGCTCGGTCCTGGACTCGAAGCCTTTTTCTTCCTGGCCGCACCTTTTTCCCTCGGAGCGGGTGGAGTCTGCACACTCACTCCTCCCGCTCCCACGCCGGTGCCCCTCCAGCCGCCTCCACCACCTCGGTTCCACTCAATCGATTTTTGCTGCATGTCAACACATTACCGGTGAGTGTGAGGGTATTTTTTTCCTGCTTCTCTAGGTCTCTTAATGATTTCTGAGCTAGTTGTGTATTAAAGTGCTTAAAGGGACCTTTAAGGTAATCTATAGCATGAAGACCAGCCTCCCCCGCAGGGGTTCAAACATGGCGAGCCGAAGCTGGGCCGGGGAGGCAGGCCTCAGTGGCCTCGGCCTCCAGCCGCTCACCTCCCAGGACGCCCGAGCTCCGCCCGGCCAGCAGCAATCCGTCTCCTGCAGACCACCAGCAGGGTCAGCGACTTCTCCACGCACAGCTGGCCCACCTGATACTCATCCCAGCTTTTCCCAATTTGGTGCCTAGGGAGTACTCGGGTTCTTAGTAAAAAGAAACTTAAAAGATTCTCAGGGCCCCATTCTCTAAGTACGGCATTCAGGTTGGTGGGGACTTGGAGAAAGGGGTCTACAGACCACGTCTAGCCTCATTTCCTCTCGGTTCCGAAATCACAGATTTAATGCCTAGTTACAATTTAAATTATTAATATATGTGGGGAAGCCCTAGCTCCATACACAGCTTGTTTAAAAGAAAAACCCTCTTCTTCCGGGCCAGATTCTCCACCCCCACCCTCTTCCTGAGGTGGTGGCCAGCCCCAGCTCTGTAGCTAATTTAAGGCCAGTCTAAGCTATATGATAGCCCAAAAAAAAAAAAAAAAAAAAATTAATGGGATGAAAACAAACAGTATCTTAAAAGTCCCAATATTCCTCGAAAGCCCTATAAATTAGCCCTGGAGAGAGCGGCAAGCCCTTTTAAGGCGCGTCTATAAAACTCCCGCGCGTTCTCAAAAGAGGACCACCTCCCCCAACCCCTGTCACGACTGTGACCAAACAAAGGTCTGTCCCGCAATCCACATCCGAATCCACGAGTCCCAGCCGCTGTCGCCCGCTTCGCAGCCTCGGCCGCAGATCTAGGCTAACTGAGGCGTCCAGGCTGGGAGACTGAACTTTGTTGGAGAGAATGAGAAAGGGAGGAGGTGTAACAAGATCGGAGTCTTTATGAATATAGACTTCTCATTGATTGATTTATAAACCCCCAGCGAACTGCAGTTAATGTAAGCAAGCACACTTACAAGGATGAAAACGTGGTGACCCTAACAGGGCTGAAAGGAAATGGAGAAATATCTGGTAGCAGACTTTCAGAAGCAATTAGAAAAAAAAAAAAAAAAAAAACCCCACAAAACAAAATGCTCTTCCACCGCCACCCTCTTAAACAATTGTATTTTACCTGAATTTGAGAAAAATGATAATTCAAGATGAAATTGTAAAAAACAACCCAAGTAGTAGAAACACCACAGTAAACACACAGCTGATTCACCTAGTCAGAGCTTAGTAGGTGAAATGGACAACTGTATAGCCTCTTAGAGGTTTGTCCCCTTGCTGTCCACATTTCTCCTGCTTCCTGGCAAGGGAGACTTTCTTGATTTTTTTGTCTGAAAAGACAGAAAACAATTTATTATGCTTGCAGTGCATAACTTCATTTCTGTACTGAGTATTTTATGAGTTTAAGGTAAATGTTGGTTTTAGATTTTGTATGACGATCAGGGAAACCCTACAAGAAATAAAATATCCTAATAAAGCATTTAATTCTGTTTAATTACTTATTTGCTTAATAATTAAAAACCACTACTACTCTTTTTGTGGCAGTGAGTGGTGGACAGGTCAGTGGCACTTGTGGAAAACAAGAGACATGGAAGCCTAAGCTGCTTAGCAGAAGGCTAATGCAACCATCCAACTTCCTTTTAATTAAAAAAAAAAAAACACTTTAAAAACATTCAGCCACTATGGAGAAGGTGTTTACTCTGGGGTGATGGTGCTGCAGGATTGCTTTTTCTTTGTTTTTTCAAAAAGGCTGAATGAAGTTGAGACTAATTGGTTGTTCCCCGACCAGAATGTGTTCCCAGCCTGCGACTTTGATGGATCTTTCCACATCTAGGTCTCCTAATCTTCTGGTCAAAATATTTGAGATCTCCTCCAGTCTCCTCTCCCTACCTTCTCTCCTGTCTTCTTTGTCCACAGCCAAGGTTTTGCTTTGTTTTGCCCCCCCTCCCAGTTTAGCAATTTAGAAAATGACCGGTGGTCCTGGAAGGTGACTGTACCAAGATTAAATCTTGGTGTGGTTTCCTTAGAACCCGGCTGAAGCTTCCTTGTTCCGAGAGAGCAGAGCCTTTTGGCTGGTCAGCAGTGAGCCGCAGCGAGCATCGTTCTGCTCTTTGCTAAGAACTCTGGGATGATGATGAGACCTAGAACCATCCGCGCTGTCCCCGGGAAAGCGGTGGGGCAGGATTTCGACTGTGACTTGCAACTTACCCTAGTGGCAGCCCAGTTCTCCCCCTCAGCCTGCGTCATCAGCCTCTGCAACCCTGCCTCTCTGGGTGGGTATCACCGTAAGGTTCCTGCAGGCAATAAAACTTTGGTGGTACCCTTCTCTACCCTTCCGAATGGACTGGCAGGGCCTTCTGGGGTGTCACTTCACGCTGACGCCTGCGTTTGGTGCACTGCCAGTGTCCCAGACAGCTTCGCCCCCCAGTATGAGGACAAGGGAGGGGGAGGGGAGGCCTGTTGGACAGAGGTGAAGACCCTGCAGGCATCCCCAGAAGTAAGGACTGGACTTTTTTTAACAGAGCCCAAGGATACAGGCTGCGGATCACTCTATTTGAAAATAAAATAATATTAAACAAAAGAAAGTAAAATAAAACCCTTCTGCGGCCTCTGGCTTCGGGCAAATGTGCATTCACAGGGCTTCACCGACCTCAGCGCTTCCAGTCTCCGCTGAAATCCATGAAGTCCAGGGAACCCATCTTATCTGATGAGGCGGAGTCTTATCTGTTTCTCTGACAAAAGGGGGGTGGGGAGGGTCCCTCCGGCGAAGGTTGAGCTGCAGTTCCAGCCTCCAGCTTCCCGGCTCAGACCTCCCTATGCTCCGACCGCCTCCTGCGTAGGACACCAGGCCGTGGACAGC